CGCAAAACGAAGAAAAATCCCAAGTTTTTTCAATCTATTTTATTTAAATATTGGTATAGAAATAAAAAATAAAACATACATATTTAAAAACTACATCAAAAGTTCAACAAAACAAGTGGTGACAAGAATATTTTATTTTATCATATAGGCCATGAAAAAACACAAATAAATATAAATTCCCGTGAAGTTGGAATAGTGCTCTGGGAAGAAAGTTTTAGGACGGAGGGAGTATTAGTATAGAAATAAAAAACAAATCATACACATTTAAAAACTACATCAAAAGTTCAACAAAACAAGTGGTGACAAGAATGTTTTATTTTATCATATAGGCCATGAAAAAACATAAATAAATATAAATACTCGTGAAGTTGGAATAGTGCTCTGGGAAGATCATTATAGGACGGAGGGAGTATAATGTGCGTTAACAAAGTGTTAGTGCGTTAACAAAAATTAGCATTACACCAACACAAAATGTTAGTGCATCCATGTGGTGTACAAATTTTTGATCTTTGGGTACAAATAACATTATCCAAAAACTAATGTCAAAAGGACCGTGGTATGGTATTAGATATTCATTTAGAAAATACTTGCGATATCATAACAAACCACCACACACTTCCGTGCACTACTTCAAAATGCTCCACCACCTTCGTCCTTGGGATTCACAATAGGGTTACTTTGCGCTCTGTTCATCTAATGCAATATTTGTTGTTGCCATCATCGTGTTCCTTTCGTTCTTGATTATCGTGCACTTCGTTTCAGCAGTCGACCGGACTATACAAAGGCATAGGTATAGTCGGGAGAGAAATACCTAATGAGAAATAAAATATGAAGAAAGTATTCAATCACAAATTTTTTTATTTTAAAAAAACTTACACGCTAATCCATTCCAAACCATTGGCTGACCAACTTAAATAATACTCTTTTCGTCCTAAATCTAACTTTCCAGTTTGATAAGAGCTCATTTTTAAGAGACGGTAAAATATGATTTGACTTTCCTAAAATGGCCCTACACTCTCTATCCAATCCAAGAATATTGTTTACTCCGTGTCATAAATTCCCAAAGAAGACATCTTCGATGCAACCACCCCCGATGCATTATTGATTACTCTCTGATGCATCCCATTCTAAAATCAACAATAGATTTCAAAATAAAATCAAAATCATAGGTAAACAATTTTAAATAAAATAAAATTTGAAATAGATTCCTGACACAGGAAGAAGAATCACAAAAAACCCACCACATCTTCCACAATAAGGGTGCAATAACTAGCTCTGGAAAAAGGACATCGCCAAATCTCATTAATTAGCATTGAAACTCAATTGTTGTCGGAAATCATTATTCATCGAAAATAAATTTCAGATCATCATTGGATCTAGTGCCCCCCCTCATCGTGTCATGTCAACAAGAAAGAAAGAGGAAGAGCCAAATAGAAAAGGTGGATCAAGTGCTTCCTTTCTGGATCTGATGCGGTCATGGTGTACCTATACTTCATTGTAAATATAGACAAGAGAAGAAAAAGAGGAGAAATAAAGAAGACAAGGGAAGACGAGAATGGGAGCGGAAGATGAAGATATGGAGATGAATGTGATGAAATAGAGAAGATGATGAAGATAGTTGAGGCTGGAGAGAGAGGAGAAACATGAAACATGTTGATGGAAAGGGTTAATGAGAGAGGGGTGCTAATGTCCTTTAATAAGATAGTAGTGGTTTTTTAGAGTAAGAATATAATTCTAGAACGGAGAAAAAAGAAAGTATAAAGATAATTTTAGGACGGATGGAGTAATACGAGTTATAAAAAACAATCACCCATCGTCACTCATACACTATGTTGTTGCCGCCTCTGCCATTGACACTCTTGCTGCTTGTTGTCGTTACCACCGCTACTACAATCTCCGCCGCCACCAAGATCTACCATTCATCATTGTTTACCACAACCAATGTCGTACTTTGTCGCCATCATGACACCACCATGGTTTTGCTGGTTGTCGTTACTGGAGTGCTTTAGTGTCACAATGAGTCTGCCAAAAAATGACGATGCACAGTGGCACATATGTCATTACATTAGACATTGAAGTCAAGGTTTAGAGATAGAATCTCTACCTTCTATTCTGTAACACTTTGCAGTCCGCCATGAAAACAATCATGCTAGGAGTAACTAAGAAGTGTATCTTAAATTATACTCCAAAGAGATGCATCAGTATTTTAACGGTTCGTACTAGCATAAAATATCATTTCAATAAAAAAAATTTACATATTTTATGTCACAGTGACATTACATGAATTAGGCATAATTTTTGGACAGAAGTAGTTTAATTTAGTTTTATTCCCATGCAGAAGATCAATTGAAAGGAATTAGAATGCACGGAGAAACCCGGCCGATTGAAGAAGCGGCGGCTGACAGTGCACCATATGAAGGTCTTTGGAGATGCACTTCGAGGTGGAGAATAAGCCGGAGCCGGAGCAATCAGGAAGGAGCGGCGGTTGGAATGGATGAGCGTTGAAGTGATGGGAGGGGGCCGCGACGCTGCGTGACCGGTGAGCGGGGAAGATGGTGGCGCTGAGGCTCGCGACGGGAGAGAGATCTGGGTAGAGGGGTTTTTTTTTGTTATTGATCCTTTTTTTTAATCGAGCTATTTTGGGGAGATTTTTATAACTTTTTTTTTGAAAAAATTAAAAAAAAAGGCGAGGAGAAATAATGACAGCATGAATGGCTCTGATTGAGAGTTTATTTGGAATGGAGATTCTGAATCTTGAAGGTTGCTCACATGCCAGCCGTTCTTTTTCTTTCTGGCTCTCATTCATTCATCTCCTTCCCCAATCCCCATTGCAAACCCCCAATCTTGTTCCTTCTCCTGTGACCTAGAATTTGAAATTGCTCCATAGGAGGAAGGAATTTAAGGCCCTGTTTGGTTATTTTCCATGTCCTGGAAGAGCCATGGGAAACGCTGAGTCTTCAGCTTCTTCATCTCCATGGTATTTTCCTGTCTCAATTTCATCATCAGTCATATGTGTTTATGTTTGCTCAAATTAATGCCCTGCATTTCTTCACTTATATCATTGCTTTATCTGTTTAGTTTTCAATGATCTGAGATTTTCTGTAGCTTTTGGCTGTTTTAATTTGGCATTTGAGGATATTATTTTGGCACAAATTAGTGCCCTCCATTTCTTCTTTGTTGTTCTTCATCATATTTCATTTCTTCTTCAAGAGAAATCGGTTGCGAAATTTAATCATTGAATTGAAGAACTTTTGAAAATTGGAGTCCTTTTTGAACTTAAACAATTGTCTTTTTCATTTGCTCATGATTTGGTCATGGATGTCCTTTGAGTTGCAATTTTCTGATGCAAAAAATGTGAATTTGGATTTGATTTTCATTTCTTTGGGTGATTAACAAATAAACTGGATTGAGTGGTCAAATGTTCGCAGTGAGGGCTCCGGCGATGCAGCTGAAGAAAACGGAGATGTCGAGATCATTGACATTGAACCCAAATTGCTTTTTTGCACTTCCATATCTCTCACCGCGGAAGGTGGTAATTTTGTTCTTTTTTCTCCCGCCATTGTATCTTTTAACGTTCCAGAATGTTTTCTTTGTTGGTGATTTTAGTGAAGAACAAGCTCTGTTGTTGGAAGGAAATGAACAATTTTATACTTGATTATTAAAATTTCAGAGTTAGGTGTGAGCTAAAGCTTCATTGAAAACATTGACGCTAAAAGCTTCCATTGGATAACAATTTCAAAACGTCGATGTTAAACGCCAAAGTTAATTCCAAACGGAGCCTAAGTGTCACTAGGTGGGGTCTAAGCAGCGAAAAACCCTTAGTCATGCATGTTTGGATAAAGGATTTTGGATGTCTTGTTTGCATCTTGTATTACATTTCAATCACCTTTCGTTCATTTTTTGAAACACTATTGGAAGGATGATTTACAACAATGCCCTTACTTCAAGTTGTTGAACAATGTTTTTTTAGAGATGCAATGCTTAAAACTGGAGGAGGATCATACAAACAAAGGTCTTACTAGAGAAACTGAGGACATAAATTTGACAACAGAAGGTGTCGAGGAGCATGAAAAGCATGCCTTGGAAACTCTTGAAGAGGAGGACAACGAGGCAGAGTTTCTTGAGGAGGGAATGACGCACAAGCTTTTGAGCGAAACTGAAAAAACGACTTCAAAGCATGGATTTTTGCCTCCAATGCTTACTAACGCAGATGGGAAAACACATTCCCAGTGGTATGGTTTTTTTAAGAAACTGAAAAAAGGTCCCGGGGTGAGCTTGCAAACATTCCATCCAGCTATTCCCTCTCTATACTCATTTAGGAAGCATTCCAAGAAAAGAAGTAGGAAAAACATGGTGCCACCTCAAATGGATGCGGACATAGTTCCTCATTTCTTTGAGACTTCATGGAAGAATTTCTCCCTATCAGAGCTTGAGAAAGCTACTGACAACTTTAACGATGGTACACTATTATTCCATTACTTTTTCCTTGTAGGGTCAATGTGGATCTCAAAAAATGACTGTTATATTAGTTCTATTATTTTCAAGATTTGTATGAAACACCACTCTACCTAGACCTTTGGTTTTCACGGTTAGCTTTTTCCTTGATCCAAGCATACCTTTAGCACAAGCTTGAAAGCAACTTTAAGGGTCTGTTTGGTTTGGGAAAATGGGATGGAAGCGGGAGAAAATGAGCCCCCCTCGTTTGCTCTAAGATTTTCAAAGGGAGGGATCAAAATCATTCTTTTCTTTCCCCTTCCATACCCCCCCCCTCCCAAACAAACCAAATTAATGTTTCAAAAAAACTTTTCTTTGAAGCCTTGAGAAATCTCATCTAAAAGTTTCTAAGAGATGATTCTTTATTGTTTGACTCACATTCTTTTGTATTGTTCTTTTGAGTACTCAAGTGATCCAAAAGAACAATTTGATGACACAATATATTAATGACATTATTCTTTAGAATATTTGATTGGGAAAGGAGGCTATTCTGAAGTCTACAAGGGAAACTTGGAAGACGGGAGGCTAGTGGCAGTCAAAAGGCTGATGAAGGGAAATCCCGAGGAGATGACATCGGACTACTTATCCGAGCTCGGAATTTTGGTGCATGTCAATCATCCCAACATCGCCAATGTCATTGGGTATGGAGTTGAAGGGGGAATGTACCTTGTTTTGCCTTTGTCCCCTCATGGGAGCTTAGCAAATCTTCTTGACGGTCAATGCATTTGTTACATCTTCTTGTTTCTAAAAGAAATTACTATAATCTTCCTAAACTGTCATTGTAACATACTAAATGTGAGATTTCATTTTTAACAGGCAGTGATCAGAAGGAGAAACTGCCTTGGTGCTTTAGGTATAATATTTCTTTAGGGATTGCTTCTGGCCTTGCGTATCTTCACGAGGAGTGTCATCGAAGAATTATACATAGAGATATCAAGGCGTCTAATGTTTTGCTGACAGAAGATTTTGAACCTCAGGTATATATTTGTTTCAACCAACAAGTCTTAGAATGTTTTGTTGTCATAAGATTTTGAACCTCACTCAATCTATTGGACCTTTTTTTCCTCATTTGCAATCTAGTCCCACACTTCTCAAAGAAAAAAAAAGGAAATGAAATTTGCCACCTTCAAATTTCAAATATGAAGCTTCAGAGAATGAGTCTATTCTTGCCATTGGAAAGAGTTTTAAGACTCTTTTGTATATGCATCACTGTGCTACTCATGTGATCTAAAGTTTTGGTAAAGATTCCATAGTAATTTGAAGTTTTGATTCTCATTTTTTTTTAGTTTATTGTAGATATCTGATTTCGGGCTTGCGAAATGGCTCCCTGATAAGTGGAGTCACCTCACTGTATCTCAGTTTGAAGGCACATTTGGGTTGGTGGAAACAATATGTACCCTTTTTTTCTTTCGTCACTCTCTTTGATTCATCTAGCACTATTTTTTTTCGCCATTTTGCTCCTAAAAGTTATTAACTGTAATAACAGATACCTTCCACCAGAGTTTTTCGTGCATGGAATTGTTGATGAAAAAACTGACGTCTATGCTTATGGAGTATTGCTGTTAGAGATTATCTCTGGTCGCCCGGCTCTTGACCAATCTAATAATAGTGTGGTGATGTGGGTAAGTTTGTAATAGATGTTCTTGCTTATTTCTCCATATGTCCCCAAATCATCTCCCACTTGCCACTTTAGGATGTCCCAAAATCATGTTCTCACTTTTCGGCACACACTTTTTAATTCTTTCAATAAAAAATACACTTTAACCTCAACAACCTACATATTTACTACGAGTACGAATTATTTTTTACTCCACTTTTACTAAAATCATCTTCCCGCTTTTTGGCACACCTTTTAACTTCTTTTTAATAAAAATATAGTTTTAAGTTTTAACCCCAACAACACACGTATTTACTATGTAGTATTTTTTACTCCATTTTTACTAAACTCAAAAAAGTAGGTAGTATGAGGCATTTGAATAATGTTTCTTTCACCCTTACACTGTGTTTGGTTAAAGGAATTTGGAAAGAAAACAAAAAGAAAATGGAAGGAAAAGTAATTTTGATGTTTGGTTAGAAAGGAGAAAAGAAAAGGTGAGAAAAATGTTCTAGTAAAAATGACAGTGATTTTCATTTCATTTTTGTGAAGAAAAAGAGAGAAAACAGCAAAATCCCCCTCCCACCCCTGCCCTCCATCCTCTCAATCGTGTCTTCCTTCATTTTCTTTACAACAACCAAAAATAAGAACCAAAGAAATTCAGGATTTTTGTTTTTTTCTTGACTTTGATTTTCCTTGGCATTTTCTTTTCCTTCCTAATTCCTCTAACCAAACATAGTGTTAATCTCCGTGCAAATATCACACGGGAAAGATGATTTGGGACGGAGGGAGTATATATATAGACTAGACCACTGTGAATTTGATACATTGAAAGCAAAAATAAAATATAACTGTATATCACTTGAAGGCTAAACCACTGCTGCTGAAGAAAAGTTATGGGGAGTTGGCTGATCCAGCACTAGGAGGTGCCTATGATTTGGAGCAGATGAATGACATGGCTATGGTTGCCTCTTTGTGCTTACAACAGTCTTCCGTGGACCGACCTCCCATGAGCAAGGCATGCTTTAATTGACTCCACTTTTCATTTTGGCTTAGTTTTTGAGACATAGGACCATGCAAGAAGCATCCCACTTACCAGCCCACCTGCTCAAACACCCATCACTCGTGTTCAATGTTTGTCACCAGTCAAAAGGTTGGGGTGAAAGATGCAAAGAGAGTGGGATGACTTTAACATTTTTCTTGTGTATAATACCCAGTAACTTGTTTTTTTTGAGTAAATTCCATAAATGGTTCCTTATAACAGGTGATTTTTCCATATTTAGTCCTCAATTCTAAGAAATTATCGTGGTCCTCTGATTTTTGAAATCCTTCCACAATCAGTCTTTTGGGGACTATGTGTAGGAATAAAATATTTTGTCATGTTTGGCCTAAAAGATTAAGGTTGCGTTCCGTTTGCTTGATATGATTGCAGTTCTAACTAAAGTTGTTTCTAATCTGGTCTGAACTGATTATAATAAGAATAAGTAATAAGCAGAAAAAATAAGTTGAACGAAACGCTGCCTATTATGGAATAGTTTTCAAAAATTGAGGAACACGAATATAATTTTGTAGAATTGGAGACTAGATATGAAAAATCACATGTTATGAGGGACTATTTGTGGAATTTATTCATTTTTTTTAATTTTGGCTTTGCATATGATATGGCACACAGGTTGAGAAAATGCTCAAAGGTGAGGAAAGCATTTCACAGGACATCAAGAAGTTGCAAAACCGGCCAAGTCTCCGGACACGTCCAACAGAGCTCGACATGCCAAAGAGTTCAAACAATTCACCCAAAAGCTCAAACGATACGCCAAAGAGTTCAAAAGGATCGCCCAAAAGCTCAAACGATACACCAAAGATGTTAAACGATTCACCCAAAAGCACAAGTGGTACACCAAAGAGTGTGCGCGTTGATGCGGGCGAGAGAAACGAGTTCACCTTGGAACAATGACAGACCTATTCCAGATCCTCACCATGCATATTTGGCACCTGTTTGGGAATCCCCCAAAACCATATATTCCCAGAATGTGATTTTGGGTGAAAGTACAAAAGCTGCTAAAAAAAGCAGTTTTTTTCCTGGGTTTTGGATCATTGGGTCTGAGTGCAATGCCGATGCTCTGCGAAAAGCTCTTCTGCTTCAGCATGGAGAAGAGAATTCTTGACCATCCAAACAGGGCATGAGATCAAAGTGATTGTGAGATGATGTTTGGAGGTTTTTACATTGTAAAGAACCCATTGTATCTAATTGCAGCTTGCTGTTGTGTTAATAAAACAGATCACAGATAACTGTTCATACATACTTTTCCAAGGTTCTGTGTGTAGTTTTAATGATAGAGTACTTCTTAATTTTGAAAACGCTAAAGCTAAAAGCTAGCGTTATGTAGCATTGTCAAAATACCAAAACTAATCGTTGAACTTGATGCCGAACATCGGATATGTGAATAAAATTGATCTACCCGTGTTCCATCGGGTATGTGCAAGGATCGTGCTACAGTCCCACCACACACGCCTTCACCAATGATAATTTAGAAGTTTTATATCTACACAACGATAATCATCTATGAACAACACAAATGATTATGGTCTGTGTAGGTCTAAAATCATCCGTATTGTTATCTATGAGAGCATGCGTGGTTGGTTCCTAGCATTATCCTTTGCAAATGCTAGAAATGCGAAATTGAAATGAAATCATTTTTAATTTTTTAAAAAAAGAAGTGATAAATTTGTTTGAAAAATACCGATCTAACCGAACGTCCGATATATTTCACTCTAAATTAACGGTCACCCAACCGAACCCAAACGCGGCCTCCTAGCCCTAACTACTTACCGGTCACCCATGCCCAGACAGCCACACGTGTCCCTACCACAAAGCCTCCCGCATCGCTTCAGTCATGGCGTCGAGAATTTGCATTTCAATTACTGAGGAATTTTAATTTGAAAAAAATAAAAATAAAATATAAATCTTTCCCGGAAAATTGCTTGTCTTCGCCGTCGTGGAGCAGATGGTTTGGTTATCTCAGCACGCTCTTCTTCTCTTCACCGTCGCGATCGCATCTGTCGCGCGCCAATCTTCACCGTCCCCGATCGTCAATCCATCTAAAGTCAAGCAGATTTCATGGAAACCCAGGTAACGGGGGAGCTGCCCCGATCTTCCGGAGTTCTAGAATCTTCGATCATTTTCCCCAAGCAAGATGCGAGTGATTTTTTTTTTTGAAATTCGTTCAGAGCTTTTGTGTATGAAGGTTTCCTCACGGATGAAGAGTGCAATCATTTGATATCCATAGTGAGTGTTGATTCTTGTCCTTTTTGTCTGAATTTGGAATTTTACATTTAGGGTTTGTTGAAGTTGCAGGGTATGAATTTGTTCGATCTGATTCCATTGAATTTTGACTTGTGGTAGGCAAAATCGGGGTTGAAAAGATCGTATGTTGCAGATAATGAGTCCGGAAAGAGTAAACTCAGTGAAGTTAGGACTAGCTCTGGAATGTTCATTCCTAAAGAAAAGGTTTGATCTTTGCAATTTGCTTGAGTTTCCTTTGTATTAAAAGTAAATAAATCAATAGAAGTTCCTTGATAGTTTTCCATATCATTGTTTTGATTTAATGCATGTTGCTTTGTGAATTCAAGAATGGTATTGGTTTTGGAGCACTTTTTTATTATATGAATATGCATGTTGGTGGCTTAGCTTGATGGTAAGAGTTCCGGTCCTAATCATGTACTACTATTTCCCAAACTCAGCGCACTGCTTGAGCCGGCAGTGGTGGGTCCAAAAAAATCTGATCGGGAGCAGCTTAAGCTAAGAGCAAGGCGGCTGGGTGGGGGATCGCAGGCACTCTTTTAATTTAAATAAAAAAAATTGGTACTATGTATTAAAAAAATGACTGGGGGCACCGCCCCCATAACCTATACGTGAATCCGCCAGTGGCTTGAGATGTTGTGTGACTTTGAGGTCACTGGTCACGATTTCAATTCAGGAAAACAGACTCTTGCAAAAATGCAATGTGCAGTTTTCCTAAACTCTTTCTCAGCGGGGTACTTTGTGTACTAGGCTGCGTTTTTAGTTTTCGACACACTGGTCTCCTTTATAATCACAAGAAATATGTATGTTAAGGTACTAACCAATGGGTTTGAGCAATATTTGCTTCCACACTTTCATTACATTGTATACTACTCCCTCTGTTCCAAAAATTTTCTTCCTACACGTCTATTTAGGATGTTCTAAAACCATCTTCTCATTTCCTTTTTTTTGGCACACACCCTATGGCATACATTTTTACCCTCAACACTCTACATAGTCAAGTCTACATATTCACTACTGTTTACTCCACTTTTGCTAAATCCAAAAACTAAGTGGGGACATTTAAATGATTTTCCTTTCACTCTTAATCTCCGTGCCATCTTCACATGGGAAGATGATTTTGGGATGGTGGGAGCAATATACTATGAATTTGTAAATAGCATAGTAGGATTTTCCCTATCATTGCCTTCTTTGCCCCTTATATGCTGCAGGATCCAATTGTATCCGCGATAGAGGAGAAGATTTCTATTTGGACTTTTCTACCTAAAGGTATGACTCATAATTAGGAATTAGTGACTCGGACATCCCATTATTAATTTATCAATTTTTTTGAGGAATAATACTCGAGGTGGGCTTTTATGCCTTAGATGTAGTGGCTAATTCTTACAGAGTAACCAAATTTAACGTGGCACAGGAAACAAGAAACTAACACTATGTTTGGTTCAAGGAATTTGGAAGGAAAAGAAAAGAAAATAACTTTGGTTTTCTCTCCTTGTACATATTGCCTTCTTATTTTCTTTTCCTTCCACTTTTCTTTTCTTTTTCTCTTTAACCAAACAAGAAAAATGTTTTCTTTCTTACTTTCTTTTCCTTTCCTTCTCAAATTCCTTGATCCAAACATAATGTAAAGGAAATGGAGAAAGGAACTCAGATAGAGTTAATATATTCCTTCTCATTCTTGTATAGTTATTACAAAATGAGACAAATTTATATACTTATAGGAAGGAACATAATTGCGGAAAGGAGATAATTAAAAATACAAAAGCAATTATGAAGGATAGTTGGCGGCCTTCTAGAAATGGAGGTGTCTATAAAATACTGTTCATATTGCTTCCACACTATTCTCATGGTTGCTGGGTATTCCATGCCATTCAGTGGCGGAGGCAGGGGGATCACAGGACATGTGTCCCCAAGGCGATTTCGGTAAAGGTACCCCGAGGCGATAACAGAAAAGATGTCCTTCATATTTTCAATTATTTCAGTGCAGTGGTGTCCACCCTAGAACGCAATCTTGCCCCCGCCACTGATGCCATTCTCCCTGAGTTGGAGAAAGACTCGTCCTCTAGTCTAGTTTATTGCCATTGTAAATGTATGGCAATAGGTATGCAACATTAAAAGGTAGTAGAGACTCCATAGTTCAATATTGAGAGTTATGGATTTTACTGTTAATTCTACTCAACTCACTGTTTTTTGTAGAAAACTGTAATGTGTAATTTCACAATGCTTGAATAGGTCTTCTAATTGTTAAAAATGTTGTCAGAGAATGGAGAAGACATACAAGTACTGCACTATGAGGAAGGTCAGAAGTATGAGCCACACCACGATTACTTTGTTGACAAGATTAACATTGCTCGTGGTGGACATCGAATGGCCACCGTACTCATGTATCTGACTGATGTACCAAAAGGTGGTGAAACTGTGTTCCCTGATGCAGAGGTTAGTTTGATGAGTGCATTTTCTTCAATATGTTGAGACGAACATCTGTGTTTTTACTTTTAAAACAAAAGAAAAATGGGAGAGGAAGATGAGGATTTAACTCATATGCAAACACATATGACTACAACAATCATCTCAACTCATGGTAATCGCATACTACCTCCACCCTCCGGTTCTAAATACATCGCACAACTTGAATATCACAGTCTCTGAGACAACAGAAAATTATATATAGATAAACGATATAAAAATTATGTACTCCAAAACTAGATTCTAAAATAAATCTAACTAAATTTGAGTTTACGCTATAACTCAATACTACCTCTCTTCCAGAGTACAATATTTGTCTAGTTTGATTTTTTCAGACAAATTGGTTGAAGTGTGAATCATTTCATTAGCTTTTCTTTAAAAGGTTGCATATGAAAGTGCATCCGATGTAAAACTTTACATTGGTTTTTGCATGAATTTACTGGGCTTCGTGTTTTAAACAATCACACTAATTGATACTCCCATCCCACTAGAACTTCCCAATTTTTTAAATTTCAACTTTGTTATATTTTGACCACAAATACTCCGTATACTTTATGAGTATTGATTCGTAATATGAAAATAATATAAAAATGTTTTTTTGTTAAAAATTCTGTAATAAAAGTATAAATTTATTAGAGTTTGTCAATTAAAAACATCATTTAATGTTTTCCATTTTTTATTAGAAAAGTCAAAGATGGAATTTCCTAGCGGACAGAGGAAGTACAAAATTTCATTCAATTGTCTCCAACTTAGTTATGATTAAGGTGGTTTTGTTGATGATAAAGAAATAGAGACTCCAAGGGATGAGGAATGAGAAGAGGGGTTGACTGTCCATCGGTCCATCCGAAGCGTACAATCCTCAAAATAACTAAGGAATCCTTCATGTCTCTAAGAATTATTGAGTTTGTATCAGTGGTACACTGATGCGTCAAACACTCTAAAAGAGCATGTGGAAAATTACTGAATTTTAAGACATTTTTTTGCAGATAAGCTGAATTAATTTTCTTGGAAAATGGAATGGACAAATTTCCAATGTCTGTCTGATGTGTTTGTCTAGGGAAAATGGCTTCCTTGTTCTGATTTTTTTATATTTGTTCAAACATATTTTATTTGTGAATTTTTATCACATAAAGACTTTAAAATTTAAACATATGTAAAAACAACTTTAATCATATTTCATGTTCCTTTTGAATTTCTTATTTGATACCAAACATGATACAATAACTTTTCTTGGCATTTCTTCCTTTTCCCTAGCATTTTCCTGAATCCAAACGTAACCTTGGCAGTTAAATATGATGGGTAGAAAGTTGAGTACGTTCTTAAGACAAATACTTGATTTTGGTTCTATAAGCTTTTTTCTTAATTCCTTCTGTTTATTGAGACTTGTGTGAAGTCTACTTTAAAACAACAAATTGCACTTTCAAATGAAACATGGCTTTATAAATTGATCAAGAAGCCTTGTAATGGGTTCTTAAGCTTTTCTGGCAATGAAATTAAAGGAAACTGCTCTAATATGTTCCTGCATATGCTTACAGGAGTCACCTCGTCGCAGGTCAATGATTTCCGAGGGTGATTTGTCTGAGTGTGCTCGAAGAGGCATAGCAGGTGAGACCAAACACTCATAATTTCATAGGAGAAGTGGTTGCTTGTGCGATGGGTCATAAAACATAAAACTTTATGAGTTGAAAGTATTTCTTTTAAAATAAAAATAAAAAATGTATGAAATATTTTGAAAGTTGAAAATGATACTTTTCAAAAGATATTCATTTGAAAGGTAATTGGATACCCAAGAGCGGTTCAACAGAGATGGGATTATACTGAGTTTGTTGTTGTATATAAAAAGCTCTGCCAATTTGTTTGTGTCTTTGTGACGTGAGCTCACAATGCTAAATAATTCAGTGAAGCCAAGGAAGGGAGATGCACTCCTGTTCTTCAGTCTCCATCCAGATGCCACTACAGATCCTATTAGCCTCCACGGCGGATGCCCGGTGCTTGAAGGCGAGAAATGGTCCGCAACAAAGTGGATTCACGTGGACTCGTTCGACAAGATTGTGGGGCCCGAGGGGAATTGCACCGATGCAAACGAAAACTGCGAGCGATGGGCTGCGCTTGGAGAATGCACCAAGAACCGAGAGTATATGGTGGGTACTCTAGAGCTAGGTCTTGGTTACTGTAGAAAGTCTTGCAAAGCATGTTAATAACACTTCAAGTAGGGACATGCTATGCTAGGGTGCCCCAAAATGGTGTGTCCCAAGTATTACCCTATCCATTTTTTGCTCTCATGATCATGTCTATGAAAACAGACTCTCATGATCATCTGTGAATGTCTATGAAAACAGTGTCTTTGAGAGCAAAAATATGGTGGGGTAAAATTTGGGGAGTATTGGAACCTCCATACCTATATTCATAAAGCCTTGTTTTCTTTTTCACTTTTTCCTTTTTGTTAAAAAAAAAGAAGAAGAGCAGAAAACGCAGTTAATACTTGCTAGTGTTTGTTTTAATAATTTTGTTTTGAAAATAACTCAATACTCGAATTTTGTGTTTTAATTGTTTGTCTTTTTCTTCGTCCAAGTTTAGTTGTCCACTAGTTCTTACCCCGTGCTTGTATAATTTTGCATAAAAAATATCTATAAATTTGATTAAAATTATAACATAAAAAGGTGAAGAAATAAGTGAAATATGTATTAAAGTTGTTATAGTACATCACAAATAAATGAAACACATAAACTTTATGCACAAATGTTATATATATATTTGTTTTTGAAATGCATAAAAGAAGAAATAAATGATTAAAAATTATAAAAATTAATATAATGTTTTATTTTTAAAAAATTATAAGATTAAAACAATATAAAAATAAAATAATAACATATCTATGTAGATAAAAATAAACGTAAATGTATTAAAAATTAAGTGATACATATGTGCCTTTTTATTTTCTTCACTTTCATAATAAATTCATTTATGTAATAATTAAGTGGCACATGATGATATGATGTGCCTTTGTAGTTGGCATGATGTAGGATGATTGTTGGCAATAACATGGCGTGACACATGTCGCAACCAAAATTAATCCGTTCAACTTTATATATATATATATATATATATATATATATATATATATATATATATATATATATATATATGATATGATTTGTCTTAACCCCTCATTGACAAGAAAGTGAAGAAACATATTCTTCCGTCTCAAAAAATGGTCTACCATTTGATTTTAATGAAGGTAAAAAAAATTGTTGAAAAATAAAAAATGCATGGCTATAATTTTTTTAAATGAGATAAATATTGTGAGTCACATATTAATTATTAAAAAATATAAGTGTAAAATATGTTTTTGTAACAATACTTGAATATTCTTGAATTATGCTTTACTGAAGATGGTTTTCGGTTCAAGAATGAAAGGAGCTTTTTTAGGGTAAAAAGGGTAGAGAAAATGTTTTGAACCACTGTTCGAGTACGAGGCATTAGAGAAGCTTTAACTACCGTAAACAAAAGTATACTTAGAGCGTGTTCTTTAGGACTAAAAAAAAAGTTGGATGTTGGAAAAAATTTGAAAAAAATTGGAAAGAACTAGAAGAAACTAGAAGAACATGAAGGAACTGGAAAAACTTCAAAAAATTGGAAAACCTAAAAAACTTTAAAAACATTTATTTTAAATTCTTGTTGTTATATTATTATTATTATTATTATTATTATTATTATTATTATCATCATCATCATCATAATCATCATTATCATCAAGTTATCTTAATGAATGCCTTTAAGATAAAAAGAGTATTGTTATTTTTTAAATACAAAATACTACTTTTGCAAAAAATAATTATAATATAAAATTAGCATAAATATAAAAATATTAAATTTTAAAAAACCTTTGTGGTTATATTGCACCTCAATTTATTTATGCAGTATTTATTATAAATAATATATTTGTATTTATACTTTATATATTACAAGATTTTGTTTTAAAGATCAGACATGTCACATAATGTAATCAAACCTATTTTTTATTTCATGATTGACATTTTATTTTAATTGAAGTAATATATTTGGAATAAAGACATAGAACTTGTTTTTTTTTTACATTTTTTATGTTTTACTCCTATTTTAGTCTTTTTCTCTAAAATATTTTGACTTACAATTTTTTTATAAAAATTAGAAAAATGAGCAAATTTTAAGTAATAAAGGGAAAGGTGAGAGGTCTTATATAAAGTTAGATTAATAAAACATTCAATGTCACTATTTTAACCATTATTTTTTTAATATAATTTAACATATTGATGTTTTCCTGTTTTAGCATGTAGACTAATATACAAAAAATTGTCTTATTCATATTAAAAGTTGAAGAAAAAATAATGTGTGAATCGTAAAAATAGTGAGATGAAAAAAAATAATTTATAAATTATAGTTATGAACATAACAATTGTAATAATAATAATAATCACATTAAAATATATCGTTTTTAGAGTTATTGGTTGAGGAGTAGAAAAATTTGAAGAAAATGAGAATAGTTGGAAGAAACCGGAAGGAACTGGAAAAAATTGGAAGAAACATGAAGGAACTGGAAGAAACTAGAAGTTAAGAGTTCAAGTCCTAAATAACAGGCTCTTATGTTCGAAATAGCAACATGCTCGTTGGTAGAAAATATAGAGCATTGGAAAACTCTATGTAAGGAATTTGATAAAATAACCCTGTGTTTTATGCACAAGGGGTGCCACCTCACAAAGATAAGTGGTTACAGTAACTAGGTCTATGCAGGATCGGTGTCACCTCACAAAAACAAGGGGTTATGGTAACTAGGTTTATGCAGAAGGGGTGTCACCTCAAAAACACGATCATAAGATGATGTATATAGGTTGACATGCTTGGTCGTAAAAGATTAAAGGGCTGTTTGTTTCATCCTCTTAATGGTTCAGATGTCTGAATGGTTCATCACTTAATGATTCAGACTGTTTGTTTCAGCCTCTTAATGGTTCAGATGTCTGAATGGTTAAATATTATACAGAGTCTGAATGGTTAAGACCTCTTATCTGAATTGATCAGACATTTGCCTCCGAATAGTTAAGCAATATACCAACTCTTAATGGTTAAGACCTCTTACTGGTTCAGCACTTAATGGTTCAGACCTCTTACTGGTTCAGCACTTACCGATTCAAAAGTTGCCAAACAGCCCTAAGGAATTTGGTGACTTTATCATAGGAGAGCTAACGAACAAAACCCTGGTAAACGACGATAGTAACTATAACGGTCCTTCAGTTGCTAAATTCCTTATCAAGTAAACAAAGGAAATTGGAAAAAAAAATTGGGATGAGGAGAGTAATTGGTTTGTTCTCTGTTGACAACAAGCTCACTTTGTTCCTTGCGATTGTTTTAGGTAATTTTCTGACATTTACTTACCAATTAAGACAATTCAAAAATCACATCAAAAATTCTACAAAAGAAGGGTTGACAAGAGTCACAAGACTATTATTTTATCAAATAAGTGATAAAAACCGACAACAAAATATGATAAAAATTTGATTTTGTAAATAGTGAAAAATAAATCTTTTTTGGGAGATAGTGGTACTAGAGACAAAAGTACATTTCAGGATTCAACCTTTCAGGGGCATGGGTGTACTAACACTTCAGACCATGTTACAACAAAACCTTTAAAAAAATCACTGCATTACTATGATGAACTTGATTGACAGGATCTTGAAGATCTATCTTCTATCTTCCTCAAGTTGCCATCACAGAATTTCTGCAGAAGAAGAAAAGGAAAAAAAAAAGTTAGAACTTAACTAAGACATCTTTGCTGGCTTTGCTATTTGTTGAGGAAATACTCCATTTGCCCCATAATTATCTTCTTATTTTCTTATTTAGGTTATCCCAAAATTTTCGTCCACAAAAAGAAAGTGGACGGAATGATACAATTATGGGGCAAAGGGAGTACATATAAAATGATACAATTATGGGACGGAGGGAGTAGAAAACACCACATACTCATTACTCGATCGTTCAGAATGAGAGCAAACTAAGAATCTCTTTTTTGTTGAGCGTCGTGTTGTCTCCACGGGTTGAGAGCCTCTTTAATGGCCTTGGCTTCGGGGGAGTTCTCCCAAGCCTTCTTCTCTGCCTCCAAAACAGTCACCTTATCATCTGAATCCGAATTGTAATAAAATAAGTTGGCAGAAAAAAACACACACAACGCGCACACACATTATTACTTGAACAATTTAGGCATGCAAATGGGAATTGAGTTGAGTCGGGCTATGCTATCTGTTCAAACATTTAGGGGCTGTTTGTTTCAGCCTCTTAATGGTTCAGATGTCTGAATGGTTCAGCACTTAATGGTTCAGATGTCTGAATGGTTCAGACATTTGCCTCTGAATGGTTAAGTATTATACAGAGTCTGAATGGTTAAAACCTTTTATCTGAATTGATCAGACATTTGCCTCTGAATAGTTAAGCAATATACTAGCTCTTAATGGTTCAGACCTCTTACTGGTTCAGCACTTAATAGTTCAGACCTCTTACTGGTTCAACACTTACCTATTCAGAAGTTGTCAAACAGCCCCTTACTCTCTAAACATAGAAAAACAAGGATCAGAAGTGGTTATCACACTTGTTTCGTGATTATATATAGTAAATTACCAGTTGCTAAATCACCAATATAACAAATCTCTCGTGTAGTCACTATTAATCTACAGAGTATTATCTATGTGAGTAGAAACATACATATAGTCATATATGCATTTCATCGAATCTTAGAAAAGATTATCTACCAAAAGTCATCTTAGAAAAGATTGCATTCCAAAAAAATCATATTTTCATTTTGTTTGCATCCCCGTTCCGATGATTAAAATGTCCACAAAGTAAAACCGAGTATAACTCCAACTTTGTTAGGTTTGGGGTCAAATGTAATTGGTATGTGTCCATTATTCCACCATTTTACAATAAGAGTCTGATATACCACCTATGGTGTATATATGCAAGATATAAATTTTGCATCGTGGGGGATGGTGGTCAAGGTGTAAATAGTCAACTAAGCATCAACTCTTACTCAAAGCAATAATGTCTCCAACTTATCTCTTCTTAGAGCCCAATCAAGAATCATCATATTATTGATTGTATGTCACTCAAGAACCAGCAAATTAAAAGCTAGAAAAATCTTTCTGTGAAAATAATACTAGCCCACTCATAGCATTCACCGTTCCCGTGTTTGTTTTTGGGTTTTAACCAATGCAGCACTAGGCACCAAAATGGTAATCTCTGTATAACCTAAAACAGATATGCACACAGAGACATGCATGAAACCCACAATAACAACAATCCAAAATCAAATGGTTTACAACAACAACAAAAAATCAATATAATCCCTACTGCGTAGGGGTTTGGGAACCAAGATGAATGCAACCTTCTGTATAAAACATAAAGAATATTTCCCTTGAAACCCTTTATACTCACTCCGACCCAATTCACTCTTCCCATTTGGAATCTTTTAAAATGATTTTATTTACAAATTTGTATAGAAATAAAAATGACAAATTACACCGTTCAAAACTACATCAAAAGCTCTACAAAACTAGAGGCGGTAAAAATATTTTATTTTAGCAAATGATCAATGAAAACAAAGATACAAACATAATTTTTCGAGAGATCGTAATAGTAACTGGGAAGATTAATTTGGGACGGAGGGAGTATATTGTAGCACTTACTACCCAAAACTTCATTGAAAGTGATAAACAAAAAGGGGATTTAATGTGTCACTTTGACCCAATATTTACCTCAAAACCCAATGTGTATGTTAGTTATAAACGACACCATGTTAGTCATGTTAGATGTTACAACTTCCGATTCAGTTGAAACTTACAAAGTAAAGAACATTGTTTAGTACATCGATGAGGCATTGTGTATTGTGATGTGAAGATTAAAGATTATATATAGTCGTATATAAATACACATCTAAAGGTATTGTTAGGTTCTAATCTAAAATTCTAAAACTAATAAAATACCGATAATGTAGTAAAAGAAAAAAATATCAATCCTCCCTCCAAACTCCCTTAAACAAATAGGCCCTTTTCAGTGACGAGCATATGCATAAGCATCCTATTCATCTAATGACAATAGATTGGTTCTTAAGGATGGACCAAATATATGAAGAGAATTTGGGTGTCTTTGGGAACATCATTTCAAATTAACATCAATGTTTTGAATACTTCTAGTGGTGCTGATGAACTTTAAAAACACTAAAAACTAAACGTTACCATCAGAAAGCCTAAAACAAAAAAATGCTAAAACTAAATGTTACCCTTACATGGCCTGCTAAGAGGGTGTTTGGGACTGATTTTGAAAATGATTCTCACCTTTTGCTTTGGATAGAACCAGTTTAGGATACTTTAAAGCGTCTGATTTTCAGTTTTTTCAATGACAAAGAAACATAAACCGAAAGATAACCAAACACAAACACCCAACACTATTCTTCAGCTTCGTTTATAACGAACATACAATTTGGGTTTTGAGGTAAATATTGGACTAATATACTATTTAGAACAATTTTGTTGTAAAATTTATCACTTTTTAAAAAAAAACTAGGCAACCCTCTAAACAATAAGCTATTGCTAAACTGGAACTTCAATCCCACACCATGTCAAAGCATCACACGCATTTGACAACAAGAATACTGTGACACAAGAGATAAATGTTTCATAACATATGATGAGAAGATGGAAAATAAAGAGATAGGAAAAAGGATTGTCCTCACACAGAAGCCAGTTTTGATCATGAACAGCTCCATGGAGCCTCCAATGGCCGCTGAAACAATTGCAATCTTCACGTACCAATCCAAGAATTTCATTTTCTTTCACTCCTCGGGATTGCTCTCGAGAGTTGACGAAGCGGGGAGACGGCCAAACCTGGAGATCAGGACACTCCAGTCGGAGTTTGATTCGCCGGATACGATGTCGGCGGGCTCAGACCCACCGGAATACGTCAATTTCAGTGAGGTCAAAATTTCAACAATAAAATTGTTACTTGAATTTGGGGAAGGAGGTCCGGAGTGATTTGAAGGTAGGGATTTAAGAGTACCTTAAAATATTCATTTTAGAGTATATACTGACTACTTATTTTTTGAGTTAATTAATTTTAAAAAATAAGTATTAATTACTTAAAAATAGGCCTAATAGTTTTGTGTTCCTGGTGATTTGTAAAATTGGCACTAATACCCCTCTGTTTTCAAAACTTATTTCTAAAGTTCCTGTGGTTTCAAAGCGTTGCACCCACACCCCTCTGGTCATTTTCCGGCGAACAGGGAGCATTGGCGCATAATTTCTAAACCATAGGGGGCACTTGTGCTCAGTTCTTATTTTTCGTTTATTATTTGTGTTTTTCCTTCTTTTTCCTTTTCCTAGATTTTTTTTTAAATTTCTTTTCAATTTTTATAATGTTTTAAATTTTTTTAAAATTCTTTGTGTTTGAACTAATAAAAAATTAACATACATTACATCCATCTCAAATTAAACATTTTCACTTTTTCTTACATGGAATAATTTTTTTGGAAAGTTCAAAAAGAAAACCTAAAATAAAAATATGGAAAAACGAAATGAAAAAATTAAAATACGAAAAAAAGAGTCTTCTACAAAAAACAATTTTGGAATACGCCTAAAAATATCCTTAAAATTGAGATGTCGAAAAAGGATAATCATTTTTATTTTTGTATTATTTTGTTTCTTAATTTATTCATCATTTTTTAGAAGTTCTAAAAAAATTACCTTTTTTCGGAAAAAAAAATTGTTAATTTGAGACGTGCCGATGCATTATATGTTAATTTTTTCAAACAAAAATAACTTTAAATTTTAAGAACATTATAAAATTAATTGTAAAATAACCTTTATTAATAAATGAAACAAATAAAGGAAAAAATTGTGGAAAAAAGAGAGAAATAAAAAATAAGCACTGGTACCCCCCGTGGTTTAAAAAATATGCACGAATGTCCCCCTTCTTCGCTGGAAAAATGACCGGAAAATGATAAGAGGGGGCACGGGTGTAACATTTTGAAACCACAAGGACTTTAGAAATAAGTTTTGAAAACAGAGGGGGTATTGCTGCCTATTTTGCAAACCACGGGGGGGGACTGACGCTATTTGACCCTTAAGAATAAGTATTCATTTGTTTAAAAATGAAAATTTTATTACTTGAAAATCAATATTTATCTCAAATATATGAGAAACACCGTACAATATGTTGTACTCCCTCCGTCCCAAAAAGATTTACACGTTTCAAAAAAATTGCGTCCCACAATCCCTTACCCATTTCCATTAAAAACCCACTTTTACCCCTTACTTTTTCAAACCCTACCTATCACATCATACCTTTTTCCTAATAATCTATACATCACATCCTACTTTTACCCATCACATCAAGAGTATTTTTGGAAAGTCAACACAAAATTATCACTCCCTTAATTTCAACTTTAGTCAAAATGGGTAACACTTTGTGGGACGGAGGGAGTATAACATATATTGCGGAATTTGTGGAGAAGTTAGAGTTAAGAAGCATTTATGGAAAATAAGCTGCTCAAATGGATAGTGTCACAAGAGTAAACTCCCGATATATGTAAACAAATTAAAAAACACTTCCTGGAAGTGTAAGTCAGTGTTTTATTTCCTGGCAGTGCATCACGGAGTAGGCTACTCCGTTTAATTTCGAAATATTTTCCCAGACGGAGTAGGCTACTCCGTTCGGATTTAATAATAATGAGACGGAGTTGGTGACTCTGTTTCTCTTCAAATCTGAGATCTACTCCCCTCCCATCCACTCGTTCGGCTTCCCTTTGCCAAACAGAACAGGAAACGCACGCGAGAGAAGAGAGAAGAGAACAAGAGTCGCCTGGACGAGAGGAAAAGGGAACGCCGAGGAAGAGAGGAATCGACGGGCAACCCGACCGGAGTCAGGTACTCCGTTTTGTTCTTAATTTTTTTTTCCTTTATTATTGTTGTACAAGATTTTGAATATTGTTTTAAATTGATTTTGTAAGAAATATATTTAGTCATAGATTGTATGCATATGTGATTTTTTTGTTATATTTGTTTCGATGATGTGAAAATATTGACAAATATATAGTTTAATCTTACAAATTTGATACATATTTGTAACAAATTTGATACAAATTTGTATGTATGTATAAGTTGTTACTTCATGATTTTTTATAATATTATTGTCTTGTTATGTTTTTATTCATTGAATATATTCTTATGTTGTAATCCTTGAAGCAAATGGATGTACATCCGGGCCATATTTTCCGAGATGTTCTAGTAATTGAAGTGGGAGAACACAGGTGTGATGCAGTTTGTGCCAGTGAAGAATATGCTCAACATCTATTAAAGTGTCACAGGACTTGTACTAGCTTGTATGCAAGGACACTTATTGTTAATAGACCGATTCGTGTGATTCAATTGTTACGAGAATACGGATTTTATGGGGTTGAGAAAGTTGGTGGGTTGCAGTTGGACTGGGCTTTGATCACAGCTCTAGTGGAGAGATGGAGGCCAGAGACCCATTCATTTCATCTTCCCTTCGGAGAGGTTGGAATTACTTACAGGATGTAGAGGTTTTACTTGGATTGCCCGTAGATGGCAATCCATTGGCGGGGATGACTGGCCGATCCAGAGGCCAGTGGATTCAGATTTGTGAGGACATGATGGGATTTCGGCCTCAAACTTCTGATATTACTTCTACTATGATTAAGATGGCTGCCATTGTTCCTAAGCAACTAACAGATCATTACTTCTGATATTGTTTGTTTCATTATATGTCAATAATTTTTTAAGTTTTTCAAATATATGAAATAAAACTAATAATTCATTTTTAGAAAAATTAAAAAAATACAAGGAACGGAGTTGGCTACTCCGTTTAAACATTTAATTAATTGGAACGGAGTTAGTTACTCCGTTTTTCTATTTAAATCATTGAAACGGAGTTGGCTACTCCGTTTCTCTATTTAAATCATTGGAACGGAGTTGGCTACTCCGTTTCTGATGGATACTGCAGATGAAACGGAGTCAGCTAATCCGCTTTGCTTTATTTGGGAAAGTATATACTAAAGTTACATATAATGGAATACAAAACAACAAACTTACACATGCAGGGAAATCACCCGTGTCACAATAGGACACTAGACTTCATAGTAAAAAAATCTACTATAGTCATATACTTACTTCTTCCGTCTCAAATTAGATTATAATTTTTACTATTATTTTTTTTATATCTTTTATTTATTTATGTGTTTTTGTTGATTTATTGTTTATAATTTTTGTAGAATATATTACATAGTTTTTTAAAAGATTAGTTTTATTTACTTATATTCCTTCGGGGCATCTGATAAAATTGGAATGATAAAGAGTTTAATTTATTTATTTATTACTTCCTCCGTCCCAAAAAGTTTTACACATTTTGACTAAAGTGGAAATTAAAGTAGGGATAATTTTGTGTTGACTTTCCAAAAATAACCTTGATTTGATGTGTAAAAGTAGGATGTGGTGTGTAGATTATATGAAAAAAGATATGATGTGATAGGTAGGGTTTGAAAAAGTAAGGGGTAAAAGTGGTTTTTTAATAGAAATGTGTAGGAGATTGTGGGACACAATTTTTTTGAAAGGTGTAAATCTTTTTGGGATGGAGGGAGTATTATACTAATTTTTAAATAAAAAATTAAAAAAATAGGATTTTCTTACGTAATTGTAAAAAAATAATCTAGTTTGGCACGGAATGAATATATGATAAGATAATACTAAATTCACATCTCATTTGGCTAAAATCGATCGATTAAATAATAAGGATGAAATAACCTATTTGATTCTACACTCATTTATGTTCTTTCCAAAAAAGAATAGTAAAAATAAAAACTTCATTTGGTGATATCTAAAAAATGTGTGATTTTTATTTTGATATAAACGGAACACAAAATTATTTTTTTGTCGTAAAGAATCTTTTTCCATCTGATAAACATAAACTTTGTGGTATTAGAGAGGATACTCACATACCTTTAGTGTGAAGTGTAAAGACAGGATTCACGTACATTTTTTGAAGTACAAGGAGTTAATGCTTACATAATTTGATATCCATAATGACAATGGAGAAAATAATAAAGGTTGATTAATGATTATTTTGAACACAAAGTTATTCTCAATTTCATTATTTTTGACTCTCAAATTTCAAAATCAATTACTAAGTGAATATGTTTATTGTACATCATAAATTAGAGAAATGCTCGAGTCACAATTTAAATGGTCACAAAATTTACAAAGTTTACATATATGAATATAAATTTTTACTTTTAAATTATAGCCAAATAGCGTCAGTACCCCCCGTGGTTTGTAAAATAGGCAGCAATATCCTCCCTATTTTCAAAACTTATTAAAGTCTTTGTGGTTTCAAAACGCTGCACCCGTGCCCCCTCTGATCATTTTCCGGTCATTTTTCCAGCGAAGAAGGGGGGCATTCATGCATATTTTCTAAACCATGGGGGGTAGCAGTGTTGATTTTTTATTTCTCTCTTTTTTCCCCATTTTTTTCCTTTATTTGTTTCATTTATTAATAAAGGTTATTTTACAATTACTTTTATAATGTTCTTAAAATTTAAAGTTATTTTTGTTTGAAAAAATTAACATATAATGCATCGGCACGTATCAAATTAACATTTTTTTTCTGAAAAAATGTAATTTTTTAGAACTTCTAAAAATGATGAATAAAATAAGAAAAAAAATAATACATAAATAAAAATGATCATCCTTTTTGGACATCTCAATTTTAAGGATATTTTTAGGCGTGTTCCAAAATTGTTTTTTGTAGAAGACTCTTTTTTTTGTATTTTAATTTTTTCATTTCGTTTTTCCATATTTTATTTTGGGTTTTCTTTTTGAACTTTCCAAAAAAATTATTCTATGTAAGAAAAAGTGAAAAATGTTTAATTTGAGATAGATGTAATGTATGTTAATTTTTTTATTAGTTCAAACACAAAGAATTTTAAAAAAATTTAAAACATTATAAAAAATTGAAAAGAAATTTTACAAAAATAATCTAGGAAAAGGAAAAAGAAGGAAAACCACAAATAAGAAACGAAAAATAAGAAATGAGCACGAGTGCCCCCTATGTTTAGAAATTATGCGCCGATGCCCCTTCTTCGCCGGAAAATGATCAGGGGGTGTGGGTACAACGTTTTGAAACCACAGAGAGTTTAGAAATAAGTTTTGAAAACAGAGGGGGTATTGGTGCCAATTTTCCAAACCACAGGGGCACCGGAGCTATTAGGCCTTTAAATTATTTAAATTATTTTGTGCTCCTAACGAGGTTCACAAATACTGCATATATAGTAGATTTGTGAATTTTAATTTATAATCATTTACTTTCTGACTCTAACATTTCTCTATGAATTATACCATACACTGACGACCCTACTTATTGGGTAAATCATTTGCTTCAACAATACTTGTGAGTGAATCAAATAACGATAAAAATATATGTCCATTTTAACAAGTGATGTGAGCAAAAATGAAATACATCCAGATTTTTCATCCGTTCTAAAAAACGTTCATTTGGCCTGATACTATCGATAAAAATATATGTGCATTTTAACAAGTGATGTGAGTAAAAATGAAATACATCCAGATTTTTCATCCGTTCTAAAAAAAAGTTAATTTGGTCTGATACAAAATTTTAAAGAAATAAATTTCCAAAACTAGAAAAATGAGTCTTAAATTTTATAAAACATTCCTAAAAAGGAATTCTGTAGAAATTGATAAGAGGGAATTGATTCTGTATATTCAATTGTTCTATTTAGTTACAAGGGGTTTCTCCTTTATTTATAGGAGAGGATGATTCCAAAATAAACAAGGAATACAAATCCTACAAGGAAACAAATCATAATCAAACTAGGAAACAAATAAATCAAGATCAATCCTAATTAGAATGGGATTCGGTCATCAAAGGATTTGGACTTCTCAAGTTTGGATTTCTCGGAATTCGGACCTCTCGGAATTCGGATCTCTCGGAATCCGGATTCATCGGAAGTCGGACTTCTCCGGATCCGGACTTCTCCGGATCCGAACTTCTCAGTTCCAATAAATTCAGTAATAATCTTTGTTTTGAGCGGGAGAGAGTATAACCCATGCTGTAAAAAAAACAGAATTACACCAAAGTTCTTTTATGCATGGCCAAAACCCAAACACCTCATGATTGAGGAAATCTTACCGTCTTTACCGAGCAGTAATAAAATTTGAAAAAGAAAACAAAAAAAGAAACAGGGGGAATCGGCCCACCCACCAACCGCATGGCAGAGTGCGACGGAGGAGACGGACCGGGGCGGTGGGGCAGCCTCTGTTCTCTTCCCCGGAGAAGAAATCTTTGTCGTCTTCCTCCCCACTCATCAATCGGGTTTCTTCTTCTCTCTGATTTCTACCGACCCGTTTTCTGTTTTCGCTCCTAGGAATTCTCTAATAATATGCTGTTCTTCTAACTTCTTCTGATACACACTGTTCTCTGCAAATCCATCTCCCGTTACCTTTTCCTTGGTGCGTTTTCTTGATTTTACGCTTTAAGAATGGAATCTTCAAAACCCTCGGAACAAGACCCCAGCTCCAGTTCTGCTGAGCATGGCGATTTTCCTCTTCCGCCTCAGGTTTGCATTATCATAATCTCTCTCTCTTTTTCTTAAGGCACACCAATTATAAATCTTAAATTATAGCTGTATTTTTTTGTGGGGTTTATCTAAATTTAACACATTTAAATATAATTAGCTTATTTTGTTCAAAATATCAGCTTTTTAATTTCAGTACCATTCAACAGCTTTGATGTAATTCTGAAGAAAGTTCAACAAGTTTTACATTTAGTACTTTTTTTGTGTGTGAAAAACAAGTTAAAGAAACGCTCTTTTATTTATTTAAAGATCTTCATATGTTTGGAATTAATTTTTTTTCAAGATTCTTTGATTTTTTTGGAAAATGATTCTCCATTTTCGAAAAATAAGGAACCCATTTCTTGAAATAGTTTGCTGTTTGTGCACGGGGCAACTTATTTTTCTGTAAAAACAAGTATAGTAATTTCATGGATCAAATGGAAGAGCCTACATTTCAACAACAACAAACCCACTAGAATCACACAAGACAGCAAGCTTTGGGCCTTGGGGAGGGTTTGTGTATGCAGACCTTACCCCTACTTAGAAGAGGAGTGAGCCTACATTTATAGACATTAATGGTTTTTTCAGAATGCTAAAAGTTAAGAAATGATTTGGTGAAACTCATAACCAACCTTGAAGGAACTTTACTATGAAGGAACTTTACTTCATAGTTCATACCCTCTTCGTCCCGAAAAAAGTTTTCCAAATAAAGAGAGACAGTTCATCCTTCATATGTCACGTTGTGCCTTGACTGCATGCAGGCTGATTTTAATTTGGGAGATTCTGCAAAAGCAGCAGCTGTTACCCCAAGTCCATCTGCAAGGAGTTCAGATCTATCCCTTCAAATACCTCCAAGGAACATTGGCATTGGGAACAGGAACCACACCAAGGGCTTGCTTCAATCTCCAGATGTTCCAAAGGGCAGTTCATCAAGTGGGGGATTTTTTCGGGGTTTAAGCTTCAAGAGAAAAGCAGCTGCTAGTGCTACACTTGATAGTGAGAGAAGCTCTCTTCTCCGTTTGGATCCCAAACTTGCTCCAGAAAGCCCTGATTTTGCAAATTCTCGTTCCAGTTTGAACGGGAAAAGATGTACGTCTTTACCCGCGACGCCTGCTTCAAACTCGTCTCCTTTTCCTACTCCCACTTGTGCAAAGACTTTGAGTGAACGGCAAAAATCGCAAGTAACTCGGCTTCTTTCTTGTGTCCCTTCAGCCTCGTTATCCTTTTCATTCTTTTGAACTAATGATAGTAATCAGTTGGAATTCAATTGCCTTTTTGAAAAAATAAATTAAAAAAAAAAGGTTTGATGAACTTTTGATTGCAGGACATAAGTTTTAGAAAATATTTTCTGTGCAAAGTGTTTGATATATTTAACATTGTTTCACATATACGGAGTACGTATTTTTTAAAGTCTTTATCAAATCCAAATAATAATTAAATAAAATGTGTCTGAAACAATATCTATATAAAGTAGTGTTATAAATTTTGAGCTTACCTTTTGTTTTAAGAAAAATTAATGTCAATACTCCTAGAAATTCGAGATTCGACCAAAATACTCCAAGATTACATAATTATCATCAACGCTCCCAGAAATTTCATATTCTTACAATAATACTCTAAGAATCTAAGATTGTATATCGATCACAAATACACCTCAAAAATTTGAGGATCCATGTAAAATAAAATTTCTCTTTTAGTATTGTCGTAAAAATATTGAATTTCTGGGCGGTGCGAGTAATAATTATGTAGTCTTGGAGTATTTTGTGTAAAATCTCAAATTCCTGGGAGTATTGATATTGATTTTTCCTTTGTTTCCTAATTGTATTTCTTTCCAATTTTCTTCTCTATTCTCTTTCCGTATCGACACAAACAGACTAGTAAAAATAAACTTCATTCACTTGAATACTACAAGAGACTCCATAAGCTCTAACAACAAGTAGGCTAGATTTTTATGTTGCCTTCGGATGCATGACAAAGAGTTTCTGGTTTTAGTCACTGAGGATAGGTACATCTCAAGCTACTGTCACAAGATCACTTTCTATTGTTATTGTTAGATCATCATCTTTTTCCACCCGTGAAGAGCAATCCACTGATACTGGTGATGGTATGCCATTTAAATCTCTGTTTGGATTCTAGTGTTGAGTGTATTTCAAGATCCTTCTTGTATTTGCAGAAGAAATATCCTTGAAGCCTTGATTCTGCATTATGGAAAAATCAGTTGATAAAGGAAGTTGTTTTGTTTTTATAGCTTTTACCTCAGAAAATGAAATATGATTAATGTTTTAATTTCCTTCACACGTGATTAATGTAGCTATTCTGAGGTAAAAGCTATAAAAACAAAACAACTTGTGGTCTTTCATCTGTGGGTAAATAGAGTTATATGCATGAATAGTCCCTGTGGTCTTTCATCTGTGGGTAAATAGTCCTCGAACTTTCAAAAGTTGTATAAAAGTCCCTGTGGTCAAAGAACCATTGCAAAATAAGTTGTCCCTATATTAGAGAATTTGTGAAATGTGCACAACACACACGTATTATGCAAAGATGTGAATCATGTAACAATAAAAAAGCTAATATGATGTTTCATTTGTGATTTGTAAGTTTGAACCGTAGTAAAATATCTTCCATCTTTTGGTTTAACTCTCACGACTTCTTCATATCTTCAACAATATATATTCTTGAATCGTAAAACAATATTCTATGTGAGCTCGTAGGGTAATCTCGTGTGATATAAGAGCTAGAAAAAGACCATTCCTTGCCTTTAACCACGAAGACAAGGTCAGATTAATTTCTTTTTTCGGTTACATGCTTCACATTTTCACACAATACACATGTCTTTTGTGTGCTTCACATTTTCCTTAAAGAAGGACTAATTATGCATCAATTCTTTGACCACAGGGACTATTTTGTAACTTTTAAAAGTACAAGGACTATTTACCTACTTATAGAAGACCACAGGGACTATTTATGCATGTAACTCGAAAACATGATTTAGTTTATTTAGATTTTAATTTCCTCTGGCATGTTTTTGTTGATAATGTCTCTTGGAGTTGGTATCATTATGTGAACTGATTGGGGTGTCCTTATTATCATCTTGTGTGTAACTAGAAATTACAGCTGCTCCGGAGGATGAGGATCATGAGATTCCAGAAGAGGAAGCCGTGTGCAGAATCTGTCTTGAAGCATGCAATGAAGGGAATATGCTGAAGATGGAATGCAACTGCAAAGGTGATCTCAGGCTTATACACGAAGAGTGCGCAATCAGGTGGTTCAGGATGAAAGGGAACAAAAACTGTGAGGTTTGCCGGCATGAAGTGCTGAATTTACCTGTTACTTTGCTTCGGGTGCTGAGTGTGGCTCCACAAGATCCCAGATATGAGCAACCTAACTGGCAGAGTTTGAACTCACAACACATCAGGTAAAATATCCAATGGAGTAGACTTGCACAAACTCGGGTCGGCGTGTCCGGCCCCGCCCATCCTGCACTCACTAAAGGCAGAATGGAGTATGTGATAACATTTAATTCTCCATCTGTCTTAAAATCATCATCACATAATCCCCACAACCCCTTGACCTTCCCCTAGCCCCTGGTTTTACAAATATGTTAAGGTAAACGCTGGAGCATATTGGTGAAATGGGGTGGGTGGGTGTGGGGTAGAAACTACTTTGGGGCCCAACAGAGCACCGTAGAGCTCTTAAGTGGCCGTTGTCATATTATGTGAATATTATTTGGGTGTCAAAAGATCCCTACCCTAAAAGGAAATATTTTAGAAATTTAATCGAGTTCTTCTGATGTTTCCATCATCCTTCATCAGAAATTTAGGTTCGTTCTTGACGCTTAAAATTCAGGGGAAAAGGTTATTTGGAATGATAAATGGGCATTGGGCATATAATGCTTGATTTACGGAGTGATATACATACGGAGTATATACTAGTAAAGAACTTGTGTTGTATTTGTGAATGTATTCTTTCTTTTCTTTTGGTAAATTAATTAACGAGTGCGTTCTTGCATTTATCCAGTGCTTGGCAGGATTTTGTTGTACTTGTGTTGATTAGTACGATATGCTACTTCTTCTTCATCGAGCAATTGCTGGTGAGATATTTCATTCTTGAAATGTAATAACTTCAAAATTTACCCTTTGAAGTTGTGTTCTAGAATTCTTTTGTGTATACTATTTGTTTTGTGTTGGTAGATTGGTGACATGCGAACTCGGGCACTCGTGATTGCCGCACCGTTCTCATTTGCTTTGGGCATTTCGGGATCTGTACTTGCAGTGATGCTTGGTATGTGCAATGTTTGAAATTTAGTTTGGTGAGGGGTACATTTGACTGAAATGGCTCAAGTGACTGAATCTGCTTATATTGTGTGATTGATATGGTTGACTTGATTAAAGTGGTTGGTATATCTATGAATGCATTTAGGGTCCGTTTGGCGAGCGTAGAAACTATGTGTTCCAATACCTTTCAATATCAAAACTCTCTTGTGGGTGTTTGGTCAGCCTCGCTTGCCACAGTGCCACTAACAACTATATGAGATTTCAGATCTCTCCAAACACTTAGTTAGAATATAAAGTCTTTTCCAGACTAACAACCACAAACTCGAGTTTTTTTTTGTTGAATTTGTTCTTTAACATGGTATCACAATCTTACTGACCTACAGGTCAAAAGTTCGAGCCTCACCTCCAGTTTTTAAAAAACTAGTGTTCACGTACAAAGTTCGACCAAAAACAAATCTCAGCCTGCATGTGAGGGGGCGCTAGAGTATACATATTTTTCCATATCTACAACCACAAACTTGAACTTTTTGTTGAATTCGTTTCTTTACTTTCTTAATACACTTTCATTTCAGATTTCACAACCCACGTCATTTCAACCTTGCTTTGCTCACCAAACGGGTCCTTGAAAGTTTTATTTTTCTTTGTAAATTATTAAAACGATACGGAGTATCTAAAACGAGGGTAGGAGTTTCAATTTAGAGGAAAAAAAATATGATAGTGTTTGTTAGAAAGGGAAGCGCTAATTCTCGTAAATTAAGTAATTCCTCGTAACCCAGAAGTAGAAAATTATGTTATTAATGTGTATTATCTTTAAATGCAGCAATCAAAGAGTACATTTGGACATATGCTGCTCTAGAGTTTGGACTGGTGGCTTTGCTCTTAAACCTATTCTACACGACGGTAGCATTTCAGTTTTCTTCTTCTTCTTCTTCGTTGTCGTCTAGGGCATTTTTGTCAAGAATTTCTCATCTCATATGAATATGTCATTTTGCAGCTCCATTTTGCGCCACCATACTCCGTGATGATGTCATCTGTTCTGGGGTTTGGATGTGCTGTGTGTCTCAACTTTTTGTACATCCAATATTTCAACTGGAGAGTACGAGTGTCCCAAAGCTCCGACCCCGTGTGAACCCGCGAGATAATAGTAAATGCCCGTTTTGCCCCTTCCGGAACGAACAACTGTAGTGACTTTGAAGCAGTATCATCTTGTGTGTTATGAGGTAGTCAATTCTGTGTAATGTGTGTGTGTGTGTGTATTTCTCACATGGGAATCATCATAAGTGGCAGATTATATCATCCACAGGAAGCACCATTTTGATTATAGTTCTCCTTTTGGGTTTCTTTTTTTTCTTTTTTTCTTTTTGAAGTGTTATTGACGATATCCGCAATTCCTGCCTAATATTACTTTAATCTTGGGAAAAATTCACATCATTACTCCCAAAATTGCATAATTTTTCATAAATACTCCGAGATTTAATAAATGACACCCATGCTCCCGGAATTTTTGTATGTTTACATCAATATTCCAACATTGAAATATGTTTACATCGGTGCCCCAACATTTAGAGCATAGATATAAACATATAAAGTTCTTAGAGCAGCAATGTATACATATGAAAATTTTGGGAGTATTGACGTCATTAACTAAATCTCGGAGTATTTATATAAAATTGTGTAATTCAGGGAGTAATGGTGTGAATTTTTCCTTAATCTTGGGAATGACACCAAGGTTTACGCCATTAGAGATAATCACACATAGATCGTTATTGTTGAACTAGGTGTCATTGTTTCACCATTTTTTAAGGCATTGACTCTGTGAAACACCGACATTGTTAGTTTTAGTTTTGGTGTCATCCGTGATGTGATTGTAGAATGATCCTAGTACATAATATGAGGAATTCTTTGGCTAAATACCACCAATTCTAATTGATTGTACATTTCATTTTTTGAACCCACAAGTACTCCATTCAAACCACAAAGATAGAATACAAGAACAAAGTCAGCACATCACAAAAACCTTACGAACCAAAACAAAAGATCAGCCTATCTACAAAGGCAAGTTTAAAGTTGTTACTTACATAAATTTTGATTGTCAATTAAATAAAAAATTAATTGTATATTAATGTAATAAAACAATTATGAAAGTGTTTTGCATAATAAATGTAATAAAATTGTTTTTGTGAGAATTTCAGCTTTATAAATTACTCTCCCGTCCTAATTAAAATCGCTAGTTTCGGTTTACGATGTTTGACTGAAGTTATTTTCAATATTTTTTTTTTGAGAATTGAAGCAAAAGATCTACGAAACAACAGATGACAAGACTATTATTTTATAAAATTAATAACAAAAATAGGGAAAGAAAGTGAATGAAATTTGATCATATGAATAATAAACAAACAATATAATTTGAGACACAAGGAGTAAGTTGCACTGACACAAGCACACATGATTAGAACAAGAAATGCAATATGGAAAAATGTCATTTTTAATGGTTAAAAGTTTCTGTAAATTTTTTAAGTTCCCATAATGCAGAAACATTTGCTTTTAACAAACGAAAATAAAATGGACAATCATGCTTTTTTAATATCTAACCTCTATGAGAAAATATTATGAGAAAAATGAAGTAATAAAAATAAAACATTCTCCCAAACCCTCAACTCTCTAAACAGACAGGACCTTGTGCAAACTGGAAGGTTGTAAATCAATTACAACACATTGATAAATAGCGTATTACATCAAGCAATTCTTGGGAGAGCAAAAAACAAAAACAATAGCAAAAACAAACTAGAAAGAAAACTGCTGCTACAGAAAATCACCATCTTGTCTGCAAAAGAAAACCCATCATCTAGAACTAGAAAACAAGTGCTTTGTACAAAAAGTTAAATCAAGTTTTTACCACAGCCTAATTTGGTCTTAGTAAAAACCATCAAATGGAAAGTAATCCCACATCTTAGCAATCATTGGCAAAAATAGAGGGATTTCTACAGCTATGCGTGCGTGCCTGCGTTATAGTCTCAAGCTTGAAGAAGTTAGGGTACAACCATTCATGTTGTTTCTTGTTAATGTGATGAGAATCCTCAGACCATGCCACAAACTGGCAAGGAAGCAGGGTCAAGTTCTAAAGACCCCTTAGGGACACCTTTCCCTTCTGTCCCTTTCATTTTGAAACAAGGAATCCTGTGGGAGAATCTGAATAGCTCTTTCACAGGAACCCGAACCCTTCCCCGCCCTTCATCGCGGGTAAAAAGACATTTATACCCATTTACCTTAACCAAAAGTGCAACATCCACACCGCCGCTACTACAATCAGTGTAGTGAGACAAGACCTCCACAAATTCATACTCAAACTCTGTCTTGCTCTTAATGCGAGAATGCCAATTCATGTTCCAGTTCTTAAAGATTGCCCATGTTTCGCCCTTTTTAGGATATATCTTATAGGATTCTTCTCGATTCTTGTCTTTTTGGCAGCACACCATGTGAGAGAGCATTGGAAGATGTTTAATGGTTTCTGAACTCCCTAATCTGAATTTACCACAAGAAACAGGTAAACCCTCAATAACCCATTTCATTTCATCTTCATCATCAGGATCGGGTTCTAACCAGGTAATCTGCAACTTAAATCCAGGCAAGAAAATCTTGTTTATTACCCCATAGAATCTAGGCATGGCATCCAACACATCATAAAAGGCCCATACTTGTCCAGCCGTGAAACACTCTTCCCTCCTCTGTTTGTCAAAATCATTCAAATCCGGACAAAGGTATTCAATAGACATACCCTCGGAAATTTTGCCAGTTTCATATGTTTTGGAAGAGTTGAGATTTTCAGAACAAGAAACACGCCTCTTTGACCGCTTGGGGCTTTCTTCTTTCTTCGTTTCTGCACTTACCTTCCTCTTACCTTCCCCGGGTATACCCTTCGTTGTAAGGTTCACAGGAATTGTTTGAGGATTGTTCTTGGCATTACATTGGGGGACATTCGTGCCATTTTGTTTCTGCCCTGGAGTGTTTATCTCATGCGCAATGAATTGGTTTTTACACTGTTGGCATGACAAGACTTTGCCTTTCATTTCTATTAAATACTGATATTTAAACAAACAATATGAACACACAGTCCAAAATGTAGGTTGCTGAGGGAAAACAGAACTGTATTGTCCCCTAGGCTTTTTAACAGCCAAACGTTTCTTGTCAAAAAGGCTGCGTTTTTCATAATCCAATAACACCTTTTGAGCTTCCCCAATCATTTTAAATGCATCTGTCGCACCGGGGAACTTGTTCTTATCGGGATGAAGTAAGAGTGCAAACTTACGGTATTGTCTTTTTACAGTCTCGCCATTGGCCTTGGGGTCCACCTTGAGGATACTATACCAGTCACTATCGTTCCCACATGTCTTGTTTTCTGATGCACAATGCACATCACAGACTAAAATCATCTGTTCAATGTTATCCAGCTCCGGATAGAGCTTATGAGCTTTGGATGCAATTTTGAGAGCACCCGTGAAATCTTTACCTTCCATCTTCTTCTCTGCAATTTCTTTGGCCCTGATTGCTTCTTCTTTGTTACACTCCATTTTCAAAACAACAACCAGCCAAACACACCATTCAATTAACAAACATTCATTTCATTTCTCAGCATGCACCTGTCAAATATTAATTACAGTGTGAATTCTGAGTTAACAATTTCAAGAGCTTCATAGCATGTCATCATTATTTGCATCTATTAAAGCTTTACTTTTAAAATTGAGCATTGTACTCTCCCAGTCTCCCTTGCTTTTCATTGCATCTATTCTAGAACTGAGAAAACTACATTTCATTCATTTCAAGGCGGCAACATTATGAGCATGGAAAATATCATGAGACGACATTCAATTGAGATGTTTCCTATTAGCATACTCACACGGTCCTAAAATAAGGTTCCACATGGGAATTAACACCATTATCAAGAGAGCTATAATTGTGTGATTGATAATTCTGTAAGTGAGAGACAAATGATGTGTAACACAAATTTTTTTATTAAAAGGAAAGTGAAATCTTGTTTTGTACCAAAAATTAAATATTGAAGTTTTTATGGAAAAAGGGAGCTTTATACTCCATCCATCCCAGAAATACTTGTTGCAAGTTACAATGCTTGACAGAAGTCATTTTCAATTCAACTTATTTGGAGATTAGTGTACAATTAAACAATAAATTTATATGTTTAAGAACTACATCAAGAATTTTAGAAAACAAGAGGGGACAAGGATAAACAGATAATTATTGTATCAAATGATTGGTGAAAATTGGCAAAGAAAGAGGTCAAAGTTTTATCACGTGAACAGACAACAGGAAATTCCTTTTGGGAAGAAGAGATTATTACAAGAATGATGCTGTAAAATCAACCTTGAAATCAAGGAAAATGACCATAATCACCTTAAGGCAACATATAACTAACATCCGTCCACTTAAAAATTTGTGTTTTTTGAAAGCATTTTGTCTCAGAAACGATCTTATTTGATAAACAAAACAGATATTTCATGTGATATACTTGGAATTAGTTAAAAACAATATCAGCATTTTACAATAGTTAAACAACAAGTAAACATAAAGGCATGCAGAATTCTTAACTTTTAAGAGTTGGACACTGCCCTAACCCCACCTACTTTCTGCACACAGGGTGGGGGAGGGGGAAGTAATATACTGATATTGGAGTTCATATTGTTGAGAAAATTTAGTCTGGTAAATCCCGTGAACCTTAGACAACAACAAAATGAATAAAACAAAAGGTCATGAAGACCATTGAGCCCAAATTCAAGGAGATTACAAGAAACCTTTCCAATGTCAAGAATTTTAGTTTTCCAGGATAGATAAAAACCAGAAAACAAACTTGTTACTTGTATTAAATATATTGTAAAAACAACCCACTACCGATACTAATTACATACAGAGTAATAATAATAATAAAAAAAAAGAGTTCAACCATGGATGGAAAAACAGTATGGTCTTTTTTAAAAAGCTCCAGATCTTAAAAAGTGGAGTAGTATAAATGTTAATGAGACCTTAAGAAGGGACGCCACTTCATTTCTCTGTTTTCACTGATTGCGAACAATGAAACCCTAGAAAGGTAAGATTTTGAGCACGGAAGGGAAGAAGAGATAAAAAAACGAAATAGAAAAGCCTAGTACTTTGCGTGGGAAGGCCAACTATTATAGAGCTCCGAACTAGAGAGGAAAGATGACAATGG